ACACAGAGCAGGGCAGTAGACCCTTCGCCCACGGTCTGACACCGGTGCCAGAGATTAAACCTATTGTTCGGGCTTTTTACAACATCTCATCCTAATCGATGATAAAGCCTGACTCAGGAAGGCGGGTCCTGGTGGAGGAACTTGCCGCCACCTCCCCTTGGTGGCCCAGGGGCCGTGGCAGGCCCTCCCGGCCCCGCGTCAGGGGCTGGCGGCTTCCCCACCCTCGTGGGTGCTCCTGTGGACCCTCACCAATCCCCCTTCCGAACAGTGCTCAGCCCCCTGTGGCGGGGGCGTGCAGCGACGCCTGGTCCAGTGCGTCAACACCCAGACGGGGCTGCCAGAGGGAGACAACGAGCAGTGCGGCCACGAGGCCTGGCCAGAGAGCTCCCGGCCGTGTGGCACCCAGGACTGTGAGCTCACTGAGGCGCCACGTGAGTCCGCAGCGCCGTGCGGGCAGTCGGGGCAGGGAGAGCAGCGGGACACGGCATCCTCGAACTATCAGCCACTGAGGACTGTGAGGCCCAGCCCCACGGCGGCCCATGGGCACCCCTCTCTGGCGCAGGAAGGGGGGAGGCAGTGGACGTGCCCCCAGGTTGCTCTGTGACCTCGAGCAAGCTCATCGTCCCCCTGGGTCTCCGTGACCCGCCGAGCGAGGCCACACCGGGGTGAGCCCCCGGCCCCCATGCTGGCTGGAGGAGGGGTGTGCAGCGTGTGCATTGAGGCTGCAGGAAACGGCCTCCCTGCCAGGGTCTGGCTGGCTGCTTCCGGCCAGCTGTGTCCTCCTGGAGGAAGCGCCCGAGCCAGAGGTGGCCGTGGACCCAGGCACGCACACCTCCCCGGCGGTGCTGAGCACGGGAAGCTGGCCCTGCAGTCACACCTGGGCCCCCTTCCCAGCTGGGTGGCCTTGGCTGTTTCCCTGTCTGGGCCTCCCCTTCCAGAGCCTGGGGAGGGGTGGGGAGAGCAGAAGCGAGGTGCTGGGGGGAAGGTGGTCACTGCGTCAACGCGGTCAGCCACTGTGAGGTCAGGAAGAGAGCCCAGGGCCCCGTGTCAGTAGGGAGGCCCCAGCAGCTTCTGTGCCTCTCAGCCGCTGCCCCCTGCTCCGAGGACAGCCTGCGGTCCTCCGACTGGCCGTCAGCGCCTCGGGGACTCCCCTCCAACCTGCCTTCTTGACAGCGGCTGGCTGTGAGCAGCCCCGGTCCAGGCCCAGAGTAGCGGCTGCCACGCCATGCTGCCCAGGCCTCCTGCAATCCCACGGCCTCAGGGCCCCGCCCGTCAGATCTCCCAGCCGCAGCCTCCACAGCACCTGCCTCCACACAGGCCAGCTACGGCTCCTCACTGCCCCTCACACTGGGCTCGGGGCCATGGGGGCTCGGGCAGCTGTGGTGTCTGCTGGGAACTGAGGCCAGGTCTCTGGGGGTCGGGTGGACCGCAGGCAGGGGCCTGGGTCAGGGGTTAGGTGGCTGAACCACCAGCCGTCCCAAGTCAGGTGTTCGGGGTGGAGGCCAGCGCGGGGAGGGGACTCGGACCCCAAGACCCTAGAGCCCCAGGATGTTTTGATAGTTTGTGGAGCTGCATGGCAAGACATTTAGAAAGCCTGGAAACTCCAGGGTGTGCGGTCACCACGGTGAGCAGCTGACTTAGCATGACCCACATCCGCTTGCGGAGGTGGGGGGTATGAACAGAGGAGGGAACTGCCCCCCCCCGACCCAGGGTTAAGAAGCTTGCATGAGGTCACACCATGCAGACAGGATGCAGGCCCGCAGATGTGCAGCTCAGAGCTGTTGCCTCCTCCCCTCTGCCGGGCCCAGGGGGATGTCCCAGGCCCGCGGCCGTCCACTGCCCTTCCCTCCTCCTGCCCCGGGACGTCTGCTGGAGCGAGCTGGGCAGCTGGTGGCTGGCCGCAGCAGTGGGAGCATGGCCAGGTGGTGGGAAGCAAACCGCTTCCCCAAATAGCTCCGATAAGCACAGGGCGGGAGGGCCAGCCAAACCTCAGCCTTGGACGCAAGTCGCCGGCAGCCTTCCTCCGTCCCTCCTCAGGAGGCCTGGGTTGTACTCAGGCCGCAGGGCCCGGGCCTAGGGGCCTGGCCCCATGGGACTCTGTGACCCGGAACTGAGGCTGAGTCCAACCCAGGTGGCTGCAGGGGATCAGGGAGACCTGGCAGGACAGGTGTCGGGGTCAGGGGGCCGATTACACTGCAGGCGGGCAGGAGGCACAGGGGGCCTCCGTTGACACCAGGACCTGTCAGGGGCACTGAGGGTCAGCAGGCATGGGAGGGGTGGCAGGCTCTTTGACTTCTCTTGAGCACTTGAGGTGGTCAGGTGTGGGGGTCCCCGCGCCTTTCCTCCTGAAGGCAGAGTGCAGCCAGGCCGGGTCCCCAGAGACCTGGGTGGGCAGGTGGGACAAGGCTAGCAACAGCTGGGGACCTGAGGCCCTGGGGTGGCGGGCAGCCCCCTGTGGGGTGCAGGTGCGGGGGGTGCAGGTGCTGGGGTGCAGGGTCACGGGGGGTGCAGGTGCACGGGGGCTGCAGGTGCTGGGGGTGCAGGTGCGTGGGGGCTGCAGGCGCGGGGGGGGCAGGGGCTGGGGGGTGCCGGGGGGGGGGGGGTGCAGGTTTGGGGGTGCAGGTGTGGGCTCCATCCTGAGGGCCCCCCCTGCCTTGCCGCAGGCTGTGAGCGGGACCGCCTGCCCTTCGGCTTCTGTGAGACTCTGCGTCTGCTGGGCCGATGCCAGTTGCCTGCTGTCCACACCCAGTGCTGCCGCTCCTGCCCCCCTCTGGGCCACGGAGCCCCCTCCCGCGGCCATCAGCGCATCGCCCGCCGCTGAGCCACCCCAGCCGGGCCAGGCTGCACGGGTCCGCCGACCCCCCCAACCCGGACACACGGACCTCACGCCCGACCACGGGCTGCACCCCGAAGGTGCTAACCTGGCCTGCTGGTGGCGGGCTGGGGCCCCCTCCCCCAAGAAAAGGTATTTTTTTATTTTAACGGTTTGCATAACCTTTATTATTATTATACATAAACGAGCACCTACAGTTTCAACGTGCAGCTTGGTTCCCTCTTGCATTGGGAGAATTTGAGGCCCGATCTGCCCTCCATCCTCTTCACGTGCTCCTCGAGGAGGAGTCCGGTGTCCTTAGCGGGCTGCATTTGAGGGGCGGGGGAGTGCTGGTCCCAGCCACGCTCCTTCTGCATCCCCCACGTCCCCACTCCCGGGCCTCAGAGACCTGTGGTTTCGTGGTGACCGGGTCACACCCCACCTCGGGCACCAAGGCCCTTGCCTCCAGCAGGGACTGCCACCATGGGGATGGCGGTGAGTGGTCTAGCACTTAACTCACCTGCACCAAAGGGGAGGAGACCAGTGGAGCTGGCAGCCCCCCAGGAGTGATGGTGCAGGTAGGCGCGGACGGCCACCCCCTTCCGGGCCCCCACTCGTCCCTTCCCGACATGGGCTCCGTGTTGAGATGTCTGGGTTGGTTGCAGCTGGTTCCTGTCCCCCTGCCCGGCCCAGGTGCGACCTAGCCCCTGCCCCCCACAGCCCTGTCCTGCCTGCCAAACCTACGTCCATGGAGTCAGACCGGTGGACACAGTGGACAGCAGATGGGCAGGAGGCGCTCCAAGAGGGTCCTGGGCTCCAGCCAGGCTAGCCCTGAGCCTGCCGGGCCCAGCCCCTCCTCTGGGAAGTAGCCATGTCTTTTAGAGCCTGCTCCCCAGGCCTACTCCTGGAAGGTGGAATCCGCCTTCTCCAAACGGGGGACACAGAGGGTCAGAGAGGGCCAGGCCCCCACCCCGTGGACACCTGCAGGGGACGCAGCCTGTGATGTGCACGGTGGTCCTTGAGCTGTGTAGTGGGATGAGGACCATGTGGCCACTTGTGGCTCGGTGGGAGGGGATCACTGAAAGTCGCACCCGGGGGACTGAGAGCAAGAAAACACAGCAGAGGCTAAAGCCATCCGCAAGCATCTGTCCCCTAGGCCGGTCCCTACCTGGAAGGGATGGAGGGCAGAGCTGCTCTCCGGCTTCCCATTCTCCGCTCACACCCCAAACCCCTTTCAGTAACACGCTCCACGGGGCCCGAGAAGCCCAGGGCTCTGCGTGGGTTTGGCTTGGGGCCCGAGGCCCTAGCCACGCCATCCTGGAGGCCCCCTCTCGCCCGTGCTGAGCCCTCCGACCTGGCAGGAAGACGGCTCCAGGCCGGCCCCACGGTGGCTCACGCAGAGGCAGGCAGGGCTGAGGTCACTCAGGAAGGCGAGTCACCAGGGCTTGCAAGAGCCCCAGGATCACTGCGCCGTCAGGGGCTACAGGAGCATCAGACTTCCTTCCTGTGTTTGCAACAGCTCCGTGGCCCACGGAGGCCCTGGGGACCCACACTCCGTAACGGCTTCCCAGGGCTCGTGCTGTCCACGGCAGCAACCCTTCCACGGAACGGGGCCTCTGCCTCTGGGCCCTGACCCACGCTGAGCATGTGGGTCCCAGTCCTGGCTCAGCCACTGCTGTGACCTCCGGCACCCACAGCCTCAGTGAGTCGGCCTCAGGAGGAGACGGGCTCAGCAGGTCCTTATGTGCTCGCTCTGGGAATCCTCCCTGGAGCCCCCTCCCCCACACCATGGAAAGACATTTGGTCTTAATCATTCTCGTGTGTTCTTCCGACGATGGGGGGTGAGGGGGATGGTGTCCCCAGTGGCAGCTGGACAGGAGGCAAACAGCCCGTGACTCAGGCAGGGCACGTTGCAGCTGGGGTGGGGTGGGGTGGGGGGAGCTGCTCCAGCTCCTGGCTGAGGCCCGAGACCCCAAAGTGCTCACCTCGGTGCCCCCGCATTCACCTGCAGCTTGACTCTGGCTCCCAGGGCTGCACGGTCGACGGAAGCATCCCACACACCCCAGAACAAACCAAGAATGTGTACCTAAAAAGAGCCCGCTGGCAGTTCGGAGCCCCCCCGCCCCCAGAAGTCCTGTCCCCCCCTGAGCCCTGGGGGTGGAGCAACTGTAACGGCATCTCAAACCAGAACATTATACAAATTAGTTTATTTGGCTTTTTAGTATAAAGACTGTTCCAAAATTTAACTCAGAAGCCGAGAAGCCGCAGTGACATCAGGGGAAGTCACCAGGCACTGCCCCCCATGCAGCCCCCTGAGGCAGCAGCCAGCCTCCCGCCTGCAGGGGCTGCCCCGTGCGGGGCCCAGCTGCCCAGGGCTCGTGCAGGAGGACAGCCCCGGACAAAGCCGGGGTGGGGATCTGTGCAAGAATACAAACAGTTTAAAAAAAAAAAAAATGCACTGGCGATTCGCCTAGAATACTTCCTATATGGATACAGTGTGGGAAGAAGGCAGACTCGTTCCAGCCCTGGGGGCCCCGGCTGCTGTGGGACGGCGGTGCGCGTGACCACAGGCCGCGGGAGGCCGTGCCGGCGCACGCAAGCCCGGGGGCCAGAGATGGCCCAGGAGCCAAGGGTGACCCAGGCCGCTCAGGTTCTCGCTCACACACAGCCGCTCACAGAGAACTCGTTATATAAAATAGATAGACATAATCTAAAAACCCTTGATAAAAATAGTCTATAAAAATATAAACTGTAGTGAAAAATATACAAAAGTATTAACAGATGTTCAGCCCGTAAGACACAAAACCCGTCCACGTGCAAGCTGGTAGCTGCCCTTGGCTGTGGGGCATGGCCTGCGGCTCAGCATCCTGCCCCGTCTGGGCCAGGCCAAGCATCCCTGCCGCCCTCTGCACACCCGGAGACAGGGCGGCCTCCGGGAAAGTGTCCCCCCCACCCACCTCTCCACGACCGCGCGGCTCTCACAGCCACTGCCCGGTCGCGGACAGCCGCCTGCGGACACCAACACGGCGCTGCTGGCCACTCCCCGAAACCACGGCTCCAGCCACACCCGGCAGGCACCTGGGCCCAATCCAGGTGCTTTTAAGATAGGTCTTTTTTGGGGCAAAACCGACAAAACCAGCCTATTCCAAAAGACAGCATTTTCACCCCAGGATGTGGCAGTTCTGGGGAAGTCAACTTGGAAACTAGAGTCTGACCCTACCGCGCCTCCTCACTGCTGTCCCCCGGCAGGTGAGCCGCGCAGAGCTGGGGCAGGGCGGGGTCTGCGATGGCAGGGAGGCCGCGTCCTAAGGCCGACCTCCAGCAGCCATCCCCCCCCCCCCCCGCCCGAGCACTGGTGCGACGCGTCTGCTATCTGAAAGATCAGGCTAACCCACCTCACAGCACAAAAGCCGAGCTCGGTGTGGTATGCGGGGACGCCAGCCCAGCCGGGACACCGATAAGCACGGACTGAGAACATCTGTCCTCAGAAAATGCACTTCCTCAGGGGACTCCTTCAACGCTTAGGCTGCGTCTGATACGTTTCAACTGGGGGTTACTTCCAATTTCTCCAAGTAATGTAAAAATTCCGTGTGAAATGGTTTCTTTCCTATTTGGATAACACCGTGCCAGGAAACACTCTTGCATCCACACGTGGGTCAGGGATGGTCCGCTGAGGGACGAAGCAAAATTAACCTTCCCTGGGCAAAGCCTCTTAGCAGAGCTTTAAAAAGAGAGCACTCCCAGTCCGCAGAACAGCGTGGGCAGCCTGACCTGCTGGAGGCAGTGGTGACCCCGCAGCCAGGACCACGCTGACCCCGGGGAGCGGGGAGGCCGGCTGCCAGAATGCGGATGCCTCTGGGCAGCACTGGGGAGGGATCCCGAACGGGACAGCTCACCAAAGCTTTGTCCCAAACAAAGGCGCTGGCAGCCGGCCTCCCCGCCATCCCAGCAGGTGGGGGAGGCCCCCGGAGCCGGGCCGACGGCGTCACCCTGCAGCCTCACTGCTGCCCTGTAAGGCGTCCCCAGAAGCTTCCTCTGTCTCCTCCACCAAGGCCTGCCCCCGAGGTGGGCCTGCCTCGCAGGACGGCGGTCCACAGCTTCTGTGGACTCTCATCCCTACGCAGAGTGATTCCACGAGTCACTCCTCAGAGAGAAGAGACCACAGAACCTCATGGAGCCGTGCCGGGCGGAGTGCGGGCTGGGGGCGGGACAGCCCGGCAGTGCGCCGACACCGGCTGGGGCCGAGCGGGGAGCGTGGGGTGTCCGGAGGACCAGCCCCTCCCCAAGCTAGTCCAGAGATGGGGCATGGCCGGTGGTTCGACCAGCACGGAAGGTCTGGGTTTTCTCCAGGCTATTTCTGAACACAGAGGCACTTGCTTCGCTCACCTCGCGCCACCCAAAGCAGCCACGCTCTGGCCTAGGGGGCGACACAGGGAGACGCCGGGTGCAAGCCAACCACAGGATCCAGCAGATGCTGTCAACAGGCTCGACAACAGCCAGCCGGTTCCCCTGGGGGTGCACAGGTCACACGGGACACGGACCCCGCCCCGCGTGGAAATGAGGAAGTGCAGCGTGGCCGTGGCCGTCCGCCCAGCAGACTTCCAGAGACCACGGGCATTACATTCGGGCTTTCCGATGAGCAGAGACCCGTCTGCCGTGTATCCTTTCAGCTTTGGTTGTGAAGACAAGAGCAGTGTCACGGGGTGGGGGGCACTCAGGTGTCCTCCTCATCACTGACCAGCTCGCCCTTATCGGGGCTGGTGTCCCGCTCGCGCAGGAAGTCCTCGCGGATGGCCTCCAGCTCCGTCAGCTCCAGCCGCACCTTCTCCAAGTGGTAGGCGCGCCGGTTCCGGATCTGACGCAGGGGGAACGGGTTCAGGTCCCCGAAGGAGATACTGATCAGCTTCCTGGCAGGACAGAGGATGGGGACAGAGGTCAGCACGGCAGGACACGGGACGGGGCCTGGGGCAGGTGTGTCAGCTGGAGGTCAGCCCCCCTCGTGCAGAGGCTACGGGGCTGGCCCCGAGCCACTGCCTGGATGGGGGCCCACGCTCGCTGTGTGCCGAGGGGCAGGTGAGGGTCCTTCCCTTTCTGGCTTCTGATTCCCTGTACGTTGGGAGGACTGCAGTGCCACCTCCTGGGGTGTGGGGTTACCAGCACGACCCCCGTGAGGACAGAACAGTGCCTGGCATGTGCTGGGCGGCTGAGGGCCGGTGTGCCTGAGCTGGACCAGCAGGAGGCTGGTTCAGGCTTCCTAGGACTGACGGGCAAGGAGCCCACCTGGTGGGAACGGTCAGACCCAGCCCGCCGCGTGACAAGGGCTGGACAAGGTCCAGAGACGGATGAGCACTCGATGGGTTTCCCACCGTCCGCAGGTCCAGGCACCGACCCTGCTAACTTGCCCCTGGTCGCTGACCAGCAGTTTAACAAAAACAGAGCCAGAATGTGCCCCGAGGCCTGGCTAGGGGTTCCAGCACTAACTGGGTCAGCCGTGGCTGCCGGGAGCTGAAAACAGAAGTCGGTTCCTCCAGTACCAAGAGGCCTGCCCCAGGCCTCGCACCGGCTGCCCGGGGTGCTATCCGGCCTGACGTCAGCCGGCGACTTCTCAAGACGCCTACACGCAGCCTGACTCCAAAGCATTCTCCTGCAGGAGGACGAAGGTCAGAGAGGCCAGCTTCAGAGGGCACATTCCGGAGTGTTCTAGAACACGGGTGTGCGGGAGAACAGGGCTGGCCTGAGCGGAGTGGAAGTGCCAGCCAGGACCTGGGGCCCAGGGCCCATGCGCCTGGCCGCTTCCCACAGCTGTTAGCCCCAGGCTGCACGCCCCCGAGACTGAGCGTCCAGCCCCCACTTCGCTACAGGAGGCAAACACAGAAAGCCCCGAAGTCCTCGGTGGGCCAGTGCTGCCGTGGCCGGTCACCCCGCGAGCACAGCAGGACACTGCCCTGCAGGCCCGGTTGGGAGCCCAGCAGGTGTCCCGTGGTCAGTTAAGGCTGAATACCCAGGAGCCCTGACTCGACACTGGTTTAATCCTGTTAACCCGACATCCTCTGAACACGTGCAACTCCACAGCCTCTCCCTCCTTCCTCAGAGAAGCGCTTACTTATCCGGAACCACTGGTCTCGGGAGCTTATTAAAACCCTGGGGTCTGCGCTGTCACGGCGTCTGCAAACCCGGGTCCCAGGGTGGACCCTGACTTCCTGAAGGCAACAGCTGGGCAGCTGCCCCAGAGCCACTGACAAGGGGCCGGCTGCGCCCACATCCCTGCTGCCAAGCCATTCTCAACCTTGACCCTGTGCGAGGTCAGTGGACGCCCTGGAGGTTCACCCCAGACTGAGTCTCAGTGGCCAACGTTACCCTCAGGCTCCACACAGTGAGGGTTAAGGTCACCGCTGCAGGTACCTCAGGATGCCGGAATATACCCTACAAATCCACTTCCCAAGCGGGAGGCCCTAAAAATAGCAATGACTTCTAGGAGTCAGGTGTGGCCTCCGTCAGCCCTTTCTGCTCCCAGCGTCCCATCCCCCGGGGGCCTCAGCCCCAGTTCCCGCCCCGGGTCCCAGATGCCTGCGGCCGGGCTCGCCCCCACACCAGCGCCCTGCAGCGCTGAGGCCTGGATACTGCCCCGCAGCGTCTCGCGGGCCGGCCCCGGAGAGGGGCGCCTGTCTGCTTACCGGGGACCCTGGGGGTTGGAAGCAGGTTGTGACACATCAGTGGGTGGAGGAGTCCGCGTGGGGAGTCGCAATAAGCATTTCATAACCGAAAGGAAATCAAAAACCTCAATATCTAACACAGACCTTTAGCAAGAACCACAAACATTTCAACAAATTATTTCATTTCTACACACTCCAGAACGGGCATCCCAGGTCCTGAGACAGAGCAGCCTTCCTATGAGCTACAGTCCAAAGAGTTTGAAAGTGGGGCGCCTGGTGGCTCAGTCGTTAAGCGACTGCCTTCAGCTCAGGTCATGGTCCCAGGGTCCTGGGATCGAGCCCCGCATCGGGCTCCCTGCTCAGCGGGGAGTCTGCTTCTCCCTCTTCCCTGCTTGTGCTCGCTCTCAAATAAATAAATAAAATATTTTAATAAAAACTTTGAAAGCATATATAAGCCCCAGATATTCCTCCCCTGCCCAACCCGCGGCAGGTCTGTGGGAGCGTGGCCAGAACAGCCGCCAGCTGCGGTCGGGGCACATGCAAGACAATGGCCCGGCACAGGCGACACTGTGTGGCCTGTGGGGGGGGGGTTGGTGGTGGCGGGGAGATGCTCCCCCCACACGCGGTGCCTGGCCCGCAGTCCTGGGTCTTCCCAGGTCCACTTCGTCTCCTGCCCTCCAGTTTGCCCCCCTCCCTCTCTGGGGGCACCTCGTGCCCCGCCCCAGGCCACCCGGACCCCCGGCCTCCTCCCCGCTGCCAGCCCTCCTGTCTGCCCGACACCCTGGGGACAAGGCCCAGCCCCGCTCCCCCCGCCTTGCCCCCCACCTGTCCTGCCCCGGGCTTCCTCCACGGCAGCACCCAGCCCATCAGGCCACCATCTCCACTTGGGTTCTTCACGTCAGGGCCTGTCCCTCCCCCGTCACCCTCAGTGCCTGGCGGACAGCCCGCCCCACCAGGAAAGCTCGGGAAACACTTGCTGAACACAAACAGACCGGCCTGTGGGACGCATGTCGGTGGCATCAAGACCAGCCGACCTCCACCCTGGTTCCCCGTTGGTGGAGGCCACCGGGTGTCCGCAGCCTCTCCCACTGCCCCTTGCACACCACACACCCGGGAAGGCTGCTCTCCGGGGAGCAGAGGCAGCTGGGGCCCCCCGCCCAAGGACTCACCTGGCGTCGAGGATCGTGCGAGTGAAGTAGCGGAGATACTTGAATATGGACATCGAGTCCTGCAGCTTCAGGATCTCCTCCTCCTTGTATTTGAAAAGCGCCAGGGCAAACCGGAAAATGACCTGCGGGCAGCACGGGGACGTCTGTCAGCAGGGAGGCCCTCCGCTCAGGGCTGCCGGGCGGCGGCCTCCCGCGCCCCAGGCCCTCCCACGGCGGCCCACCACGTCCCCGGGGAGCTGGCCCCTGTGCAGCGGCCTGCCCAGTCACCCAGCGGCGGGCCCACCTTTGGTCCCTCGTAAAGGAAAGAGTCCCAGATCTTGAAGAGGATGTCACTGACGACGCTGTCTACAAACACCACCAGAAACCAGTTGAACGTGATGAGGGTGTAGTCGACATTGTACTGCTCCAGGTGCGTGTGCAGCCGGGGCAGCTTCTCGCTCATGAGGTCTCTGAACACCCGCTGGTCCACCTGCAGGGGAGCAGAGGGCGGGAGCGTGGGGTCCGTGCGCCGCGGGCACCACTGTCCCGCACGCCCGGGGCGCCTCGGCCGGAAACGCACTCCTGTCCTCGAGCCGCCCGAGAAGAGACTACAGAGAGCTGGGGAAGAGTCAGCCTCGCTGCCCCCTCGCAATCCAGGGCTACGGGGGGCGGGAGCCGAGTCCTGGGCCCCAGAGGAGGTGCGACATCCGCACGTCCGTCCCACAGACGCCTCCCGGGTGTGGGAGCGCAAGGGGGCGGTGAGGGGGCGTGGCCTCCAGGGTCCAGGGTGCGGCCCCACCTCCTACACACGGGGTGGCCTGGGGCACATCTCACCCACTCTCCCACGGCTGCCGTGGGGGTACCACAAGCCACGTACAAACCACCATCGAGCTAGGAGCTCTGGCCCTCCTCCCCACATCGGCCATGGTGCTCTGCTGGGCACAGGCATCCCTCCGCTTCCCCGGAGGAGTGAGAAGCCGCGTGGGGGAGCCAGATGCCCGGCCTGTTGGGTCCACTGTGGTCAGGGCCCCGGTGAGGGGTGTTGGTAGCACTCCCAGAGCCAGACGGGTGCCAGCCAGGGCCGCTGAGGACAGCAAGCCACGCGTACAAAACACCAGCGAGGAAGGGCCCGCCACGCGGGGAGGGTCTGACCCTCGTCAGGAGCCCCCAGTGCTCCGTGAGCCCCAAGGCCACCACACAGGAAGCCACGCGCTGCCCGCCAGAGCCAACATCAGCCCAGACACACCCGGAAAGCGTGGGAACGCCACACGGCTCCTCGGAATCGATTCCAGAGAAACTGGAACCAACTCTCAACTGCACACCAGCCAAGCTATAGAATGAAAGGTGCACTGATTCTTGGGGTTACTGGAAGTCTGAAATAACGAGAAACCATCTACACAAACACGCTACAACCACACCTTTTAAAAGTAACCTCCACACCCAGCATGGAGCCCAACACGGGGCTCTAACTCATGACCCTGAGATTATGACCTGAGCTGAGATCAAGAGTCAGATGCTCAACCGACTGAGCCACCCAGGCGCCCCTAAAATGACATTTTAAAAGATTCTTTTTTTAGGAGAATCTGAAACTTTTAAAAAGCCCACAGTTCCTCCTTTTTGGAAGTTTTGCTTTATCATAGAACCCTTAACAAACAATTTTGTATTTTTTCTTTTTTTTTTAAAGGGCATGATTAGATTCAAGTAGGCATTACTGGTTGAAATTGTAAAATTTAAAAGGCAAAATAACAAAATGCCAAAAACATTGTTTACAAAAAATGATTCTAAAGAGTTATAAAATCTTCTCAGTGCGTAAAAGACAACAAAATACAGGAATCAGGTGGGAAACATACATTTTAGCCAATCTGCCCTCTGACTAGACCAAGAGACAAAGTTTCAAAGATGTAAACTGGTTGAAATGAATTATAATGAATATTCCTTAAAGACCCAACAGACAAAAGCATATAAGCCGCCTTTAAAGTGTCCCCAGCTGCCCCCTTCCCCCCGCACCGCACCGCGCCCCCAGGAAAGCTGCACAAAGTCCCACAGGGCAAGCTGGACGACTGTCCGGCGGGGCACACATCCCCAGGGTCCGTCCCCCATGGTCCGTCTCCCCGGGAACTCCGCTCCTGTCACCAGGCGGGGTCAGCATCACCCACTAGAGGAGGTGCCTGGACGTCCAATGACGGCCCCTGAACCGCACACACTCTGCACCTGGCTCTGGCCAGAGCTGTAGGAGCTGTGCACGGGCAAGGGGGATGGACAACAGGCCGCAGGGACAAGGGACAGCAGCGGGATTCCTTCTGCAGAGGAAGGGCAAGCAAACTGACCCCAAAGCGGGAGTAGAGCCATGACCTGGGCCCTCCCAGTCAGGTGGCCGGTGGTGCCTCGTTCAGGAGGCCCAGCGTGGAGCAGCCTGCTGGGAACGGCCCTTGGGCCTCTGTTCAGCCCCCACCCCTCCGCGCTCAGGAGGACGTGGGAGGACGGTATCCTCAGTGCCTACCAACGTCCTGGCACACAACATGCACTCAGCTGATGAACAGAGGGAAAGGCTGCGAGCATCTGGCCCATGGTGGCAGTTTGACAGGGATTTGTGAAGCACGGCGCAGGGGGCTGGCCACACACGGCTGCCCCGACCCGCAGTGTGGCCTTACACGGAGCCCACCGCAGGAGAGAACACACGTCACATGCATTCACCCGATGGAGGGTGACGGCCACCAAACACGGCGGTGAAAAAGCACAGAATGACATGGGAAGACGCTCGAGCTAGCGTGTGAACCAGCTAGGACACGTCTTGCCCCCAACGTGAGTACCTAAAATGTATTTGGGGGAAAAAAACCAAAAAGGAAATATGTCACAATGCCAACTGTGGTCTCGAGTGTGGGTTAGAATAACCCAGGATTTTCATTTTCTTCTGAACATCTCGTATTCCCTAATAACTGTTCCTTTGTGAGCACCCACGACATTTACCGTCAGGGAGAAAACAATCTCCTCGGACTTTACGATTATGTTTATGGGACGATGTGATGCAAATTTTATCCTAAATCTACATGCTTAAAATAGGCTTTCCCCTTCTGCGTTTTATTGAGTTTTTACGATCCAAGCATTAGGGTAAGCTTGTAACGCATCTAAATTCAACCTGGAGCACCCGTACGAGGGGCGTATGATGCTGGCCTTCCAGCTGGGGAAGCTAAGGCACGGGGGTGTGGAGTGAGGTGGCCAAGCTCCACGGCTCATAGGTGGGAGGGCCTGGTTCAGTGGATTTAAGACAGATGAAGACCTCATTCTTCTTATTCTGAAACACAGTCATCTGAGACTTTGAGTCTGTAAAGCTGTTAGCTCCCTGGTGTCTGTGACACACAGAACTTAATTTACTGGCCTCCTCACTCCCACCAGACAGTGACTGCTGCCTCTTCCCACGGCTTCTCATTTCCTAATTTACAGAATATTCTGACAAGAAGAGCCTCTAGGTAACGTAGCAAAGTGACGTGGTCACGGGGAGACCAGCTGAGCCTGTCCTGGGATCAGCTGGCACCCATGACGCTGGGACATGGCCCAGCCCCCGGTCCGGGCCCACGGTGGGGGCACCTCAGGAGAGCTGCTTCATGTCCCTGACCCCCAGTTTTCCCCGAGTACAACAGGGACAACGATGCCTTCACCAGGGTGGTTTTGTGCAGCTGCCGGCACGGGCTGGGTTGGTGCCGAGTGTCAGCTCTCCCTGTCCCTGGTCGGAGCGTGCACGACGCTCAGCCATTCGCCACACGGCGGCCGGTGATCCTGGAAGGAACGTCAGGGCCGCTGACCAGCTGCAGGACAAGCAGGCTTATGGGGAGTCCCCGTCCCCAGAGTGGCAGGAACAGCAGGGGGCTTGGGGCGGCGTGGGGCACAGAGGACGGGGCGCTCAGAGCCCGGGCCGGGCAGAAGCTCTCTAGGGAGGCAAGCGGGGGACAGTGACCTGGGGAGGGGGTTAGCTCCACCTGGAGCAAGTGGTGCTATCGGGGGCAAGTGTTCTGTCCTGGGGCAGTCTGTGCCTCCAGCAGGGGACCCCATGAGTGACACGAGGAGGCCACACGGTGATGCAGAAGCGGTGGCGCCCTGATAGGGGTCAGGGGTCAGAGGGGGAGCAGGTACTCGAGCCGCCAGGCAGGTGGCAGTGACCACAGGGCCGCAGAGGGAGAGGCATGAGGACGAGTCCAGGCTGGGGCGCAGGGGGTGGGGGGCAGGCGGTAACGGAGGCCACGGCGAGAGATGCAAATACACAGCAGAACTCAGGGCCCAGCCAGGCAAACAGACGCCACCCTAAATGTGTACGACAGAAGGATTTTGTGCAGGGACCGGTCACATGAGGACAGAAGAGCCGAGAAGCCACGTGGCTAGTGGGGAGGTGGCCCAGAGGTGAGGGCAGGAAGCCGCCCCAGGCTGGAGCAGGGAGGTCCCCCCGGCATGGGGGGGCCTGCCAGACAGTAGCTGGGCCAGGGAGGAGTCAAGGCCACGGGCAGCCAGTGCCTGTGATGGGCGGGCCGAGAACTACATGCACTTCCCTCCTGCCCCCTGCTGGTGTCTTGCTGGGGTTACGCTGGAGGCCGCAAGGCCTGGAAGGTCAGGCCCATGAGCAGGGCTGCCAGCGGGGCAGCGGCCCCAGCCTGGCCCAGGGGAGCCCTGGCCTGGGCCCAAGGGGCTGGTCCAGAGCCAGGACTGCCCACGTGGGGACAACCCTGGGCTCTCCCCCCGCCCACGATGCCCTGCCCGGCCCTGGCCTCAGGCTCCAGGTGCAGCGGACATGAGCTGTGCCCTCACATCTCCTGCTGGGGAGGTGACTGTGGCCCCCAGGCCGTCCCTCTGGATCCAGCACTACCTCCGGCTGCTCCCAGCCAGGAAGTGACCATGGCAGGCCCCAACGCGGCCCGTTCCCACGACACGCATGCCTGTAACAGGCAGCCCCAGCTTGCGGACTCCCCACTGGCCTGGCCAAAACTTCCTCGGAGATCCGTCCCACCCACGCCTCCTTCCTTTCCCTGGTCTGGGGGTTCCCCAGCCTCCCCGCTCCCACCGCTCATCCTTCACAGGTGCCTCCCCTCAGAAATCTCTGGCTCGTCAACTCCTGCCTTGGCTCAGCTTCTTGGAGAACCTGAGCCGACACACCAGGTTCCCAGACGTTCTTGGACCGCAACTTAGCTGCCCCTGCAGGTAGCTGTGTCCGGGGAACAGCTGAGGCCGGGGGGTGGCGGGGGGGGGGGGGGGGGGGGCGCGGGGGCCCGGGGGGGGGGGGGGGGACGGCGGAGGGGGGGGGGGGGGCGGGGGGGCCCGGGGGGGGCAGTGGAGCGCGGGGAGGGGACAGCGGAGCCCGGGGGGCGGGGTGGACAGCAGAACAGCCACCATGAACAGCAGGGCTATGGGGCTGGTCCACTCCTCAGGGTGTGTAACCGCCAGCCCGCCCCGCCGGCTCACGCTCAGCCTGGCCCAGGGTCCGCGGCATGCCCTGCCTTTTGCACCCGCTGCAGGGCTCAGTGGCTGAAGCCGCGAGCAGGAACCCACCCCCCCCAAGGCTTAGTTCAGTCCTGTCTCAGCTCGAACTCTCCACGTTGCTGACCGAGGCACAGCATGTCTACACGTACCTGGGACCCCAGCAGCGTCTTTGTGTAATAGTCTCGCGGCATGAACACCTCCACTATGGTAACAAGGCACCAGAAAGCATCTTCCTGCTCCAGGTACAGAAGGGCCACCGCCACCAACCTGCAAGCAAATGACAGCAAGGTGAGCACCAGCACCCTGCAGCCTGCGACCCAGGCCACGCGGCCGGTCTGGACAGTGGCACCGCGGCTCGTGGCCACAACTTCTCCAGTCCCCGATAAACGACAGGTAAGTGTTCCTAGGCAAGTGAGCCATCTTCCTTCCTTTCTTTCTTTTCTCTCTTTTTTTTAGTAGTCTCCACACCCAATGTGGGGCTCGAACTCACAACCCCAAGATCAAGAGTTGCACGTTCTAGCGACTGAGCCAGCTGGGAGCCCCAAGGGAGGCATTTTCTCAAGTTCAAGAAGCAAAGCTACTATTCCCCCCCAAACTTTTCATTTGGTTTTTGTTAAAAGGTGATGAAATTCCTTCCCAATGATCAATCAACCTTGTTAAAGAGAGAAAAAAAAAAAGGTGTAGTCAATGCAGCTAATCCTTCCAAGCACAAAAAACCCAGGGGTGAGTGTAACACACGAAGAATAAAAATGGTTTCCAAACAACCGCTCTGAGGGGCTCTCGGGAGGAACCGTCTCCGCCGCGGGCATGTGGGGGGAAGGAGGTGTGGCTTCCACTGTTTGGGTGGTCGTAACGGAAACCTGGGCCTGGCCAAGACGGGGTCACCAATCAAGAGGTGACCTGTCCCGGGCTTGGCACCCCGTGGGCGTCCAGGAAGGGTCTGGACACAACGCGGCCAGAGAGGAGCCCCTCCCTTGGCATCTGGAATCCAAGAGGTTCCTCTCAGACAAGGAGCTGCTATGCGTCACGGAAAACCTGAAAACTGATTCTTGGAGGCTGTTTTTGGCCTTTTGCTTCCTTAGATAAAATTATAATGGACTCATCTCAAACTAAAAGGCTAAAAGGAGGGGCATGGGGTAGGTGGGGAGGGGATGCCTGCAGCAGGCCTGACCGCATGGTCAGCAGGAAGGTGGCCCCAGCAGGGACGACGGGAGAGAAAGCAAAGCCACAGAACCCACGGAGCCGGGGCACGGGGCCAAGCATCCAAAACCAGCGGGACCCCGCAGGACGGGCTCGAGTCACTCAGAAAAGGCTAACACTCTTCTACCAAAGTTCTGAGTTCTCAGGACACACGCATAAAATATTTGGAAAAAAATAAATCCAGTAAAACGGTTAAAAGTAAGAGGCCCTAAAGGTGATGGGGATGCAGGGGGAAAGCTTTCATTTTCTGGAAGTCTTACTTTTGTGGGGAAGAACGGGTTCTGTGACCATGCCAGATAAACAGGGTGCTAGTGTCCCCCCAAACAGGCATGCACAGGTCCCCGCCGGATCTTCTGGGCTTTAGAAGTGTTCGGCTTCTGGAAATTTTTAGAGTATTCAGTGTGAACTGTGGATTTAAGCAAAACAAGACTGCTTCATTCGGCAGCAACCTATTGACAGGCTTGCTTTTTGTTTCTTTAATGGGGGCCATGGAGGGGCAGCCAAAATCCCTCTCACTTCCAGGGCTCAGAGGGGCTGCCCCAACCTCAGCACCACGGAGGCAGGGTGACTTCCCAGAAGCTTGGTTTGGACATTCCACCCGAAACCCTTCCTTCCTGCAACACGCATCTCAGATGCAAACAGACGGCCCTTCCTGGAGGTCAGTAGCTGGTGGAGGAGAATTTAAAAGGCCTCTGAGGTGCCAGAATAAACCTCAGCATTCAAAACTCAAGGCAAACACTTGGGCTCCTGGGAAAATCCCTAAAGAGTGTGCACAGACCTTCTTCCTTCTTTGTCCGAACCTCTAACAGCCTGGTGGCCCACGATCCCTGCACGGAGAGAACCTAAGTGGACACGTGCAACACCAGCATGAGCAGGAGGTGCGTGGGCCGGACACGTGGCACAAAAGAGCCACGTGCAGTCCGTGCCGCACAGACCCCAGGGCCTCCTGGGGCCTCGTCCCCCCTTGGCCCGGCTCCGAATGAGGAGGCCTGGGTCATCACGAAAGGTGACAGGCTGTCCAGTGTCCCCTGTCTATGGAAGCGCTCGTGACACCCGCAGAAAGACTCTGGTCCAAAAGGGCCCAATTTCGGCCAGCTGAAGAGCCGGGTGGGGCAGCTCCCTGATTCCCAAAGATCCGGTATAAACAAGGAGCGGCCACCACTGTCCACCTCGTGTGTTATAAACACAAAATTATATAAAGTTATAATTATAATGGAATCAAACTTCTGGTCAAAACCGGAGCGTGACAAAGAGTAGTAAAAAATGAAAATGAGAAAACCTAGTTGTTTTAGATAATGTTTCATGGTGGTGGTGGTGTTTTTAAAGATTTTACTTTTAAGTAGTCTCTATACTCAACGTGGGGCTCGAAATCACAACCCCAAGATCAACAGTCGCACGCTCCACCAAAAGCCAGCCAGCCAGGCGCCCATTTGGTGTTCTTCATACTTTCTGAAAGCATGTTTGTTTCTCTCAATTACTCCAGAACTGGGGATGTCACATAACTGAGCCTAGCTGACGGCAACCCTGCCCAACGATGCTGGCCTTCCTCAGCTGGGCAGGAGTGGAGGGGACGGTCAGGCCGGGCACCCACCCGCTCAGACCCACCTGTTCAGACCCTGGCAGTAGCCAATATCCGGGTTCCTCCAGGAGAAGGCCAGCAGAACATTGCGGAGCTTCTGGATGCCCTCTGAGGTGGGGCAGGAGTAATGCTTGTTGGTGGGCAGAGTCCGCAGCAGGTCCAGCTCGATCTGCTTGGAGGCCGGGTTCTGTTTCTCCAGTGCCTTCTGGAGCAGCGTCTGGAAGTACCCGGGCTCGGCGCTGTCCCGGAACTTCCTGGTGTGGAGGTCCACGCACCATTTCCACACCTTGGAGCGGTGTTCGTGCGGGATGCCCGCCCGGATCAGGTTCTTCAGCTCCGGGGAGCACGCCATCTCCCTGTTCATAGTGCTCGCAAAGTAGTTTTCCCACTTGACACCGGTGGACACCTCCTGGTTTTCCGTGAGGTACAGGGTCTTCAGGTCCAGCGCTCGGACCTTGGCCACCAGCCTCTCCTCCTCATCGTCCTCTGGGACGGTCCTAAACCCATAGATATCATACTCACTGTTGAGAAAAACAGAGGGAAAATTGAATGACGGGATTCTGACAAAAACACCAACCAAACAGAAAAGCACGTTGGCCCACATATACGTGGCCCTTTGATCTGGGACCAGGCACTGGAGCCCGGTGAGGGCAGAAAAAACCTCAACAGCCAGGGCAGGACGAGTGGCTAGCTCCGTGGGAGGAAATGAAATTACATCTCTTGGTACTAGAATAAAAATAGATCCCAGATGGTTTAAAGCCCTACCTGTGAAAAGCACGTAAGAAAAAACGCACCTGGTAAACTGGCCACATGAACATGTGTTTACACATCATACGTGTCTGTACGTGTAACTTCCGTGTTCGGAAAATGTCATCTTAAAACGTGGAAAGGCGAGAGAAAAAGTATTTGTGTAGATATTGGGGATGAAGACAACGTGGGTGTGGGAGCAGGACCGTGGCCCCAAGGACGTCCAGCCGTGGCGACTCACACCTGTGGCTAGCCACATCGTATGGCAGAGGCACACGGCGTCACGCTGACTCAGCTGGGACAGGGAGGCTACCCCGGACCGCTGGGGGCCCGTGGACACACAAGACCCTTCATGGTGGAAGACAGGGCAGGACCGCGAACGTGCAGACCACAGGGCCCACTGCTGCTGGCTGAGGAACGGAGGAGGAGGCCTGTGGCCTCCAGAAGCAGGGAAGACCGCCCCGACAGCCAGCGTGGAAACGGAGCCCTCGCTCTACAGCCCCAGGGAACAGCTCGAGTGCATGAGGACACACGGTGCCCGTGACACCTGGAATATCCAGAGAGGCCCGCCGCACAGCCGGCCCACACAAGCTCAGACAGCAAACGGGTGGTGTGTAAGCGGCCACGTCTGTGACCATCTGTGAGGTCAGACCGACACGGGGCCTTCTGCACCTGCTGCCGAGGGTGTGACCTGTGCCAACCTAGTGGGGCTAGAGAGACGTGTGCCCTGCAGGCCGGGGATCCCGCTTCTTGTCTACACCCTGGAGGAGCCCCCCGCCGCCCCGGGCACGTGGACACACGAATCCCTATGTTCACCATGCCTCCTCTGTCACAAGGGGACGTGGAAGGACCCTGTGTGTCCACCATGAGGGGAAGGAGCAGAGACACCAAGGTTCGGGCGCCTCCGACAGTGGAGGGGGCATGAGGCCCACGAAACGCAGCTCGGGGGCCACACGGATCCACCTGGAAGATTCCAGGAAGTAACATTGAAAAGTTGCGAGTACGGTGGGATTCGTGTCTTAGAAGGTGTCCCCGGTGAGGACTTAGAAACGCACACTGACGCGTCGTAATGTGGAAGGACACAACGTCCGGTATTTGCTGTGAAGTATTCCAGAAAAATCCCTGGGGGCGAGGAGGAGAAGGTGCAACCGGACTGACAGTAATTACAGAAGGGCCGCCTGGAGGGTCGTCATGTGACTCTATGCTGCAGGCTTGAAATTTTCCACAAGTCAGAAATACATCAATATGCACAGCTGCCGTTCTGCTTACACACGAGGTTTGGAAACAACACGAACAGAACGAGCCCAGAGGTGCCCGAGGGAGGAAGACAGGCCCTCACGAGCAGCCCTGCTGCCCGCGGACCCGTGGAGAGCGCAGTGTGGAAGCCGGCCACCCAGGCTGGGGTTCTGTCCCCACGACTCGGGGGCTGTGTGTCCCTCCCCGTCCGCGGAGCACTAACACGCGCTAGTGGGTAGAGCCCTTGGCGCAGCTCCTGCACGCAGGCCTCAGGGAGCGCTCTGCAACAGGGGCGAGGCTCACGTGCTGCGAGCTGAAACGGCAGGTCCTGCTGGAGTGTGTGCGTCCGCGGCGTGGGTCAGACCCTTGAGGGGTGCCGAGCCACTGTGCCAGGCTAGCTAAACCTTCTCCCCACGCGGGGGCCTCTCTGCTCTTGAACCACACGTGGGAGCAACTGTGTCTCAGGACGGGGCTCCTACTCTTTGGGGGACTGGTTCCCAGCAGGACCGGAGCTGCTGCTGGAACCGTGGACCCTGATGCACTTGGGAGGGAGGTCCTGAACTCAATGACCTGGCTCTGCTGCGCGCCTATGACGGCATGAACGCCGAGAGCATCCGTTCCGATGACGGGCACACAATGGGACACGCACTTGCATCTGGTCCTCTGTGAGCGACGACCGTCGTTGAAACAGGTCCCACGGCCCATGACAGTCGCCGGTGCTCTTACCTGACAAGATGAGGCTTCACGAATGCCTGCTCCGGGCCTTCAACCTGCAGGGCGTCCTCCAGCAGCTGAGCTATGACGTCGCGAGAAGGCCCCTGTTCTTCCGAGCAAACCGGCGTCTTCATCTCTTGGAGCAGGATCAGGTACTTGCTTTCTATCTGGCACAGCTTAGCTTCCAGGCTGGAATACTACAGAGAACAGGGAGGTTACCTCCATCCCGACCAGGGCGCAGCATCGGCAACCCTCGGTGCCTCGAGCAGCCGAAGAACAACAAGCACCGGCTATGGGGAGGTGAACCAGGGACTGTACACAGGACAGCAGATTCAGGTCGCCCCAGGCCACCTGCCGTGTCCAGCAGCTGCCCCGGGCCCCCTCCTGCCGGGGCGCTGGCCCAGCGACACCCACATCACTCCCGCACGGCTGAAGGCAGCGGCAGGAACAGGACCACGTGGCTGTCCCTGCAGTCATGCCGAGTGTCACCCAGCATGTGGACTGTGAGCAGGCGCCCACGTGGCACTGACATTTCCCAGCACGCCGTGCCTCAGGACCAGCTCCCATCTGCCGCCTCATCAGGCACACCCTGGGGCCACGCGGATGCAGGTCCGGGAGGACGCGGGGAGCTGGGTTCCAGAGGTACACGGAGCACACACAGCGGGGACCACGAGCGCCATCGGACACCACCGGGTGGCAGCGGCCATGCCGGCACTGCTCTTCCGGCCACAATGCCGACAGAGAGGCAACTGACGGGTTCCCAGCGTCCCCGTTTGTAGAGGGGAAACCAGTCCACGCAACTCAACGGAACAAAATCACAATCCAAACCCCCTTCGTTTGGGGAACCTGAGCGTCAGAGTGAACGGTTTTCCGTAAACCCCGTGATGCGTGTGGATGAAGACACATCAGGGCACCTCTACTCGTCTCCGTCTCAGACACGGCGACACTGAATACGCAGCACTCTGCACCCTGTATTTCGGGTTCAGTGACCTTGCGCCCCCAGTGTGGGGGCAGGGCTGGTTTACGACGTGCCCACTTCTAAAGGCTTCGGTGTCCCCGGCTGCCAGGGAACAGCCGCACCCTGACCCACCTTGGCCATCAGGTCCCGCTCCCTCCTTTCCGCGTTTCTCCGCAGTGCCGAGAGCTCCAAAATCTCCTTATTTAGGAACTTATTCTGGGTTTTGTACCCCTGTAGGTTATCCTGTTGGGAAAAAAAAGCCATCAGTTCTCACCAGTCTCTCTCTGTTAATATATCACCGTCTCTGCAAAGAGCCCAAGTTAGCGCGAGCTTTGAGAACCGACCGCCGGGCACTTCCTGATGGAGACGACTCCGCCGCCAGCCTTGGGGTGCCAAAGGAACAAGCAGAATTACATCCTCACGCTGCGAGTGTTGCGTCCCCGCACTCACTGACCGTGGCACAAAGCAAACCCTCGTGATAGTTTCTTCTGTAGCTCGAGAAACAACACGTTCTCTGTGGGTTGTCAGTCACTCAGGGTGGAGGGAAGGCCTCGCGCACACACGGCACTCGACTACAGAACCCCACGGGCCACCTGCAGTGGACAACGTGCTCCAGGAAGCACGTTCCTCCCATTTGTGTGTTGAAACAGTGGCTCAGTCGTTGGGCGTCTGCCTTCGGCTCAGGTCATGATCCCAGGGTTCTGGGATCGAGCCCCACACTGGGCTCCTTGCTCGGCGGGAAGCCTGCTTCTCCCTCTCCCACTCCTCCTGCTTGTGTTCCCTCTCTCGCTCTCTCTCTCTCTAATAAATAATCTTTAAAAAAAACAAAACAAAAAACATTTTGAACTCTGGAAAACCTGACAGGAAAGAAAAGGAACGTGATACGCCCTTCGCCTAAAATTCACCAGCTGTTAACGTTTGCCGCACCTGCTGTGGGACGTAGGACAGCCTCACAGGCTGATGACAAGTTCTGCCAAGTGCGGCGACAGGATCGGCTGTGGCCTGCGAAAGCCCGCGAGGAGGGCAGGCGTCTGGGACAAATGTGCTCGGCCAAGCGCAGTCCTCCACCCACATGCGCCCCCCGCTCTGTGGGGTTCCTGGGGCTGCACTGGTCCCTGGGTCACTGGGCAATTCCTGGACTGGCCGGGAGTGTCCACCCCTCACGGGACGGAGGCCATGGCCATTCCTTGAGACACGTCCCTGTCTCCAGGCTGGACGCCACCATGAGGATGGGGGCCCACAATCACCCTAAAACGTAGAGCGACTGTAATGTTTCCACGGCCCCTTTGGTCACTAACACTTGTGAAGCTCGCGCTACAGGCTACAGGGTCCACGTGAGACTCCTGACGTCTCCGTGAGTGAGAGCCCTTGGCCGCCGTCCCCGTGTTTCTCTGAGAGCCGGGCCACCAGGCTCTGGGCCACCGACCGTGCCCAACAGATACGCTCACGCCTCCTGTGTCAGTAGGACTGCACGTCACGACAGGCCCGTGACACACCCAAGCCCAAACCCATGGCAGCCTGGACCCCCCGCTCTCCGTCCTCCCGTCCCGGCGACTGAAAGCTCTCTGGCAGCGCCAACACACACGTAACAAGGAGGAGGCCGACGGAAGGAGGGCGGGGGATGCGGGCGGCTGGGTGATGGTGGGAGAGCAGAGTAAGCAGGTCCTCCTCCGGTTATGTTCCGTGTGACTGCTCATCGTGAGGAGTCTCCCTACGCTGATGATGACGAGAACGCAAGTGGAGCCCCTACAAAGCGCCAGACCCTGCCAGGGGAGGGCTGGTTCACACATGAACGCGCTGGGGCAGGAAGGGACCCGACCCCCAGGTGGGGTTCGCGAGCGGCAAAGCTGGGTAGGTCTGAGCTCCTCCCCGTGCTCCCTCCGGTTGTGAAGCGGTCTGTTTTGTGCTAACTACGCCGGGCACTCCTGGAGAGGCCTTGCGCTCCCAGCACAGCACAAAGCCTGGCACATGGCTGAGCGCACGCCAGAGTCCAGACAAAGAAAAGCTGCTGGCATGGAGGCCCGTGCCAAAGAGCAAGTCTCAGGAAGACCAGCCGCACAGGTAGGTGGGGACAGCGACTCGACAGCAGCCCCGACCGTGCCCAGCGAAGCAGACAGCCACCTACGCCGAGCAAGGAAGAGTCACAGAGCCATGGAAAGGCCGGGAAGGAAGTACAAAAACAGTAAAGTACTTACACTGGTAAAATCCTACGACCAATGTGTGTTCCTTCCTCAAAATACCCCAGAAACAGAAAGTGACCCTCTCCCAGAGGCAACAAGAAGTGTCAGCAAATTCCAAACAGGCCACACACACTGACCAGAGCCGGAGAAAGTGGGCCGTGACAGTGATGGATGAGACCCCCCCCCCAGTAACACACAGTGTCCCCCGCGGAGGCATTCTGAATTCGGGGTCAAGGCAAGAAATCAGTATGAAAACCATGCAGCCGCGAGAAGTGGGGGGCACCGAGGACACATGTGGCAAAACCCTACTTCTGTCCACAGCCCCCCGCCCGCAAGCCTGCTTTCAATTCCTGTGGAGCCGCTGCGGGAGCCTGTGGTGGGAGCGGGCGTCTGGCGCTGGTGGCGGCAGAAATCTCAGGGCGGCCGGCTGGCCCACTTGGAGCCCAGGGCCACACGCCGGCCCCTGAACAGCCGCCTCCTCCATGGGCTCTGTCGCACGTCACCTGACCACGGTGGGATTTCAGAGCCACAGACCTTAAAAACTGTTGAGAAATGTTGGAGGAAAAAAGTCATGAAATCACCGAATGATTCAAAACCACCCCACCCATCTTGCCACAAGATCTAAAGGGTGAATAAGGGGGGGACGTCTAATTCTTATCAAGTCTGTCTGCTGTCTTCACAGGGAGCTGTGTGGACCAGAGACAAGCCGCTCGCTCCCACACATGCCCTGGTTCAGCTCCCGTGCGTCCCCGCTGAGCCTGCTCACGAGGCCTGCAACCAAACACCGCAAAACAGGCATGCTCGCCAAATACCAATTTCAGTTGACGTTAAAGTAAGCCATGGTCAAACGCGCATCGCCAATGCGGTGACGTCCAGGTCAGGCGCGTTCTCGACTGCGAATACGAGCAGAGCCGAGTCTTACCAGCCACACCGACCACGATGGTTTGTGCAAGCACGGCTGTGTTTGTGGTCGAATCACAGAGGAATGGGGTGGAGAGCTCTGTTGCTGTCGTCCTTCTGGACTCACACGTGCACGCGCGTCACTGAGAACTGGTAACTACGGAGGCCACGTGCACGTCCCGACGATGCTGCCGTCAGCCCAGTGTTCACTTCTGTTCCAAATTCTGAGGACTCCGTCCCTCCCCCCCCTCAGCTCTCCACTGACAAGCCAGAGAGGTAATGCTGGGCATGCAGTAGGTGCTCACTAATAACCTCAACATGGCAAATCTCTGCCTTCAAGGATAACCTGCCCTTGGGAGCCAAACACCCCTGGTGCCGAGGTATTTACGCAAAGAGGGTAGCCAGGCGAGGAGCATGTTAGGGCTGGGTGCGGCCTGGGGCTACAGACCTGCCTGGAGTGGGCTGGGCCACACTCAGCGCCTCTCTGCGTCCTCATGGCCAGGGACATGGCCCTTCCCCACCTCAGTTACAACCCAGACAGTCACGAGTTCAGGAAGCAGCCCCCCTGTCCTCAGCGCCAGGACCCTCCCAGCCTGGGCGCAGGGGCCCTGACTCTGAACAAGCCTACCTGGGAGCCAACCCCATACCAGCCGTCAGAAACGATGCTCCCTCGGCTCCGCCTACCCCCAGGGAGCTGAGGCAGGCCGTGTGCGCGGTGCTGGCCTGGACACTCATGCATGGGGGCACACAGGGCCCCCTGGGCTACGTGCGGTAACGAAGCTCTAGGGGTGCAGAGCAGAAAGGGGAGGCTCAGTTGCCTGAGAGCAAGGGAGGGAAAGTTGCAGAACCACTCTGAGCAACGGCATTGCTGGACTCACTCTTTGGTTTTCCAAGGATGCTTCTTAGCGAACTACCCATCGTTTGCCTACAAGTCCTGCTCTGTCTGCTCCGTCGGCCGCTCTGTCTGAACCCCACCGAGCCCACGTTCCACTTACTTTCAGCCTGTCCAGCTCTAGGTGCTCCCTGCTGGGGGAGGTGGGGGAGCCGGGCACCCCTGCAGCAGAGGGTGTGTGGTCCGCGCCCTCGCTGAGCTGGCGCGAGAGCTTCATGATGACCTCGTCCTTGGCCTGGATGGTCTCCACCAGCATCCCCAGCTGCTCGCTGAGCTCGCCCACCTTGCTCTTGAGCGTCCTGGCTTCCTGCTGCAGACTCTCTCTCTCCAGGGAGAGCCGCTCCAGCTGGCTGCTGAGGCCCAGGATCTGGTCATCCTTGCGGTGCAGAAGGTCGAGCGTGTCCTTTGGGACCCCCTCAGAGAGCCGGCTGCTGGCGAAGTACTTGTCGTACTGGGAGGACCGGACCGTGTGCTGCAGTAGCCGCACCAGCTCCTGCAGCAGAGGAGGGAGCGGGGAGGAGAGAAGCAGAGACTGTGACAACGCGACACGGAGCAACGCGGGGCCGAGACACGCTCACACCGGACTTCCTCTTGCAGGGTCTCGGAAGCGAGAGGAAGAAAAACACGCACTCCGTCAAGTCCGCCTGCAGAGAACAATGCCAGGAAACAGGAAACCGTGGACGCACACAGTGCCGTCCGCCGCGGCCCCAGCACACGCGTATCTGTGCGTGGGACGGGAGCTCCGTCAGCTCCGACCTGCCCAACGACGGGGCGTCCTCGGTCTCAGAGGGAAATGGACACCACGTGGGAACTCCTTTCCCTCCTGTTAACAGACTCGGCCGATGCCGCGCTGGGGTGGGAGTGGGCACAGCGGCCGAGACCCTCCCCTGACCCACTGGCGGCGTCCCCACACCCCCTGGAAATCCAAACGTCCCTGAAGAAGTGACCTCGTGGGGCGCGGGCGCCTCCATCAAATGCTTCGGGGAAAAGCCCTTCTGGGGACGAAGACACTCAGAGGCCCGGGCTGTGCTCCCGCGGCCGGCCGGCTGCCGGGGGGGACGCAAGCGGGTGAGAAGGACGGTTACCTTCTGGCTGGACAGGTCTTTCTTCAGCCGGTCCAGCTCTTCCTGCTGGCTCTGGACCTGCAGCTGCATCTCAGACGCAGGCTTGCTGACGCCGCCAGCACTCTGTGCCCCCTCCGCCGAAGGGTCACCGCTGACGTGGCGGTTTTTGTACGATCCGATCATGTCTTTCAAAGGGCGCTTTCCTTTGTAGGGAATACGTCCAAAATCAAAGGGAAATCCTGAGCCAGTTACTCCTACATACAAAAACAAAACTTGTTTTCTAAGTGCAGGATAAGTCATCCTTCTGGAAACTCCCACCCGCCATCCTCAGGGGAAGTTCTGCGTTCACCACGCAGAGAGCACGGGCAGGGGCCGGGACGCCTCTGGGCCCCGGCTCGCTCTTGATGAAAACCGGGCCCCGACTCAAAGTCGATCCCCCGCCCCCCCCACCCCGGGATCCTTCCTTAGGAGACTTGTCACGTGGTCCCTTTTCAAGAAGACGTTCTGGCTGTGATTGCTCAACGTCTGCCTTAGGACGCAGGGGAAAATGGGCGGAGTGCACTGGCACAGATGAGGAATTTAGGACAAGGCCGCGGGACACCTCGCTCAAGACTCAATCTGGGATGCCGTCTCTTTTCCTGAAGCTCAGGTCTCCTCACCAGTTTCCCATTTCTGCCACTTTCAGGACCAAAGGGGACAGAGACACAGGCCGAGGAAGAGCACACTGGTTCCGAGGGCCCGCAGCATCCCAGCAACACAGAGCCCCTTCCCCAAGGCCCCGCCTGCAGTCAGACAACAGGCTCCCGGGCGGGACTCACGGACACAGGGATCCTTGGCTCCCTTCGCTCATCTGTTCTCAGAAAACAAAACAAAGCCCTGCCCTAAACGTATGTCTTCTTCATTGTGAACAAGTGTTTTAAAGCATGACTACATTCTCTTCCTTAAAAATGGGCCTTTAAAACACTGATGGATCCAAATAAATGTTAATACAGATGAATTCAGATTTATACTCAAACTATGAGGCGGCAACGTGAACTAGAACACAGTACTTGGATTCCACGAAGCTCCTAAGTCGGGACAGTGGCTGCCCTGGGAGGGGTGGGGCACTGGAGGGGCCGGGGGACAGGGCTGGCCCCGTCCTGTTTCTTGAAGTAAGTGCTGCCTACGTGGCTGTGTTCGTTGTGACAACCCGTCGCCTTCACATTTCTGATGGATGCGGGGGGACTTTGTGCACTTAAACGCAGGGGAACAGAGAGAAGGGAGAGCAGTTCACGCCCCCTGCACGACAGGGACCAGCTGGGGGGCTGACGCCCGCGGCTGGTACAGGAAGGGTCCACAACCCCGCGCCATCAGAGTCCGCAGACCCCATGGGGGGCTGCGTTGTCTGGCCCGGGGAGTCTCCGGCCCACGCGAGCCGCTCAGCCTCGCAGACGCTTCCTTCCTGACTGAGCTCGCAGTTCCTCCTCCAGAACCCAGGTCCCCCTTGCTCAGGAGGCGCTCCCGCGGGCCCTGACCAGGGAGCGCAGCACACCAGGCCCGCGTCACACAGGACTGCAGGTCCCATGCTACGACCCTGAGAACACAGGCAAGCCCCCCTGCAGGGCCAGTCAGGGCCCTCCTCCCGGGGCACAGAAGTACTTCCTTTAGTAAATACTTGCCCTCCCGATAAACTTCCTATGATCCTGCCTCCACCTGTCAGCCCATGCTTGACTCGAGCACAAGGCAGAATTACAAAATTACTGTCCTTTTACATTAAAACATCAATATTCCCTCGTGGATCCCCAGACGAGCATCAGGAGTGGCCGTACAGACGGGGTCAGGCTGACGACAAGTGAACCCTGACCCTCCCCAAAATCGGCGGGGACCAGACACGACGTGGTTCCAGCTGTGGTGCCAGAGGGCGCACAGCCCCAGGCCCCGACCACAGAGCGTCCCCGTCTGATGAAGTCAGCCCTGCATCTGGGCAGGCCTCGGCCCACGACCACACATGGGGCACACGAGGAGCAAGAAGGGACCCGGACCCCAGAGCGTGGGAAATCCTCGGCGTGGAGACCATCTTGGCCACGCGCACGCCAAGGCAAAGGGAGGATGAGGAGGGGGAGCTGTCAGGGGCAGAGAGGCCAGTGCAGACCAGCAAGGAAACCGCCCGCAGACCTCGTCAGTGCCTCACGTGCCCGGGGCGTGCGCACTCGGCTGTGGAACCAGAGCGGGCTTCGGTTATTAGATTTACTGCCGCTGTTTCTAGGTAGAATAACGAAGCCGCCGTGAGGTTTTAACATGAGTCGTTATCTCTTAGAGATACGTACGAAATAAAAAATTTAGATGCAATGGATCGATGTCTAGAATCTACTTTAAAACAACTCCACCGACACGGAACGCAGGGGGTGGTGGAAGCTTGGAGGAAGAGAGCGGCCCTAAGTTCGAAACCGTGGGAGCCGCTTGAGGTTACACTGGAACCCGTGACCCTGTACGTTCTACTTTACGTACGTTCCAGATTCCCGTAAATAGAAGGGTTTTTAAAAAATCCATATATCTGTAAAGAGCACTGTGACTTCTAGATGCTCTATCTCCCGAAAAAGCTTACGAGGCACCAGCTGGATGGTCGTTTCTTGTAACGCCTCATCTCACACGCCCTCTGGGGTCATCGCCCACAGAGGGCGCAAGCCCCAGTGCGCCTCCTGCTTCCAGAAAAGCCTGGTACCACAGGGGCCGCGGAGAGCAGGACGGTGGCAGGAGCCATGTCCGTACCTTTGTTCCCCTCGGGGGCCGGCTTCTTCCTCTCCTCCTGCGCCATGGACTCCTCCAGGTCCTTAGGGTTTGGGTCTAAGAGCTCCCACTCTTCACTGGTGTAAAACACACTCTTCCGACTGTCACCGTGTCCTCTCCCAGGACGGAAAGACGACATTGAGTTTCTGTTAGGAGAAATGAAATGAGTTATGTAAAACGCTGTAAAATAAAATGTAACTTCACATATACAGGACTGGCAAAAGTTAACAGATACGGTAACATCGAATGTTGAATGTCAGGGAGGGAGGCGAGAGGGACGCTGGTTGGTGCTGCGGGCGGCAGTCACACGGGGGGCCATCAGCAATACAAGTTCAGGTGAAGGGGGCCCCACCCCAAGACCCTGCGTGTCCCAAACGAACTCCCGGGTGTGGGCATGGGACATGGAGGAGAGTGCCCACCGCTGTGCTGTTCACGTGGGACCCAGGTGAACGTGGCGGCTGAACACCCATCAACGGGAGAACTGGTGTGATGGATCAAGCACCACGGCGCCATGTAAGTGAATCTGTCCATTCACACGTCACTAGAGCCCACCGTGCGCTGGCCAGGACTCCAGCACGGGAGCCACCGAGCCCGAGACACAGTCCTGCCCCATGAACACACCAGCCACAGCCCCCGTGCAATGGACTGTGCCCCACTCCATCCCCCGCTCCGCATCCACCGCTGAATGAAGAAAGAAAATGGGACAATGATGTGTGCAATGTGACAGTGTTTCAAACCTTCGTGGGAACAGTGGTCACAGAGGCTGTGCCTGCACATGTGGCAAGGCTGTGAACGCCGGACACAGGACCCTGCCGCCTCCATGAAGGGCAGGGTGAGGAGGCGGGTGTGCAGGCGGCAGCAGGACCCAGGACGCACAGACCACGCGGCAGCCCACACAGCTGAGCCTGCACAGCCCAGGATTTACCCGCAGAAATGAGAACACGTGTGTGCACGCGGGGCCTGCACATGGACAGTCACAGCTGCCTGACTCCTCACAGCCACAAACGTGTCCCCGAGTGGGAGTGGGTGGCCCAGCTGGGACACGTCCATGCACACTGCACGCTGTTCAGCAAAGAAAGGGAATGAACCATGAAACACTCGTCAGCCCAGAGGGGCCACGAAGATGATGATTCTCTAGAAGACAACTGCGAAGGACCACACACAGCATGGCCACGTTCACAAAGTGGCAGCCCCAGAAGGCGGGCCAGTGGCGGCCGGGGCGAGGGGAGCAGTCGGTCGCGGGGGAATGGAAACGCCCGGTGTTTCCGTTACAGAGGAATTTATATGACCACGTTCGGTTTCAGACGTTCGTCAGCCTATACACCGAACACGCTTGAGTTTCTTGCAGGTAAATTACACCTCGGGGACGTGGTTGAAACAAAGAGCGGGGAGAAACGTGTGTCGTGTGGAGTTCCCTGAGGTGGATGCAGAGCGGGGGACGGAGTGGGGCGCAGGTCCGTGGGAGGCAGACCGACCACACCCTCACGGACAACGGTCATTCCTCAATGCTGATGTGTTTGCCAAGCAGATGGTTTTTGCCTGGTTTGAACCGTATTGAAGTGCTCTAGACCAAAGACTGCAGGGAAACCAGCAATCCCGTGACGTTTCCGCCGCTGCATCCCAACCAGCACGTTCAGCCCCAACTGTCTGAACACCGGCAATCGATGTAATTCACAACAGCTGTTTCCAAATGTACGTATTTCAGATCAATTTCTCCACCTACATCTACGACGCCCAACGTGTCTGACAGACACAGGCCACGTCCCCAACAGAGGGGAGGCCCCCCCCCGCCCCTGATAACAGATCAGTTCTTAGGATAGACGAGCGCATCAGGAAACATTCTCGGAAGTGATAAAAAGCAGAAATAACTGGAAGGGGCCTGTACATGAGACAAGGGGCCTGGAGACAGGGAGCCTCATGGCGTCCTCACGACAGGGAGCCGTGCCACAGCCACCAGGAGCGGGAGGTGGCCACAAGGGCCCCCCGGGGCTCGGGGAGCAACCAGCAGGCCAACACCCGGACTGTAGCCCTAGGCACTGATTTTGGACTTCTGGCTCCAAGTGTGGGAGAATGAATTTGTGTTGCTTTCAAGCTCTCGTTTGGGGTGATTTGCTGCAACAGCTGGAGCAAACAGAGCCCCGTGGCTGCGGGAGACCCTTCCTCATCCCTGCACAAGCCCCGACCGGCATGCAAGTCTGGAACCTCATGTCTACCATTAAAGCAGTTGCAGCGCCGCCAGAGTGACACGGGAATGTGGTCACAAAGGCCACTGCCCGTCCACTGCACATGGACAAACAAGTACACCATCCTTCCGCTTCGAGACACGTACGGCAACATCTACGACAGCGTGTCCTACCTCAAAAACCCCATCGGAGTGGAAATCATCTCAGCGGTGAACCTCTAGGCAGGGGCGGCCGGGCTGGTGCCCCATGCCCGACACGCAGACCCTGCATCCAGCCCCCGCCCCCTGCACCACCTCTGCTCAGCGCCCGAGCTCCTGGCACGCGGACCTGGGGACTCGGGAAACCCTGTTCTCACAGCCACTGCCTCACATGAGCTGCCTCGCTCCTGCCCCCCCTTCTGCAGGTCCCGCCTCGTGCTTCAAGACCTAAGTCAAAACCCGCCGTCCTGCAGAGCCTCCGCCTCCACATCTCCGTGCACCCAGGGAGGGCAGTGACCACTGGCTCGGCCCTCAACGGCACCCCACGGCCTCGTGCGTGAGGCACCCCCGCCGCCCCCCTCCCTGATGGCAGCGAGCGGCCAGCTCTGGTCTGCGGGCACCCTCAGCCCCATCCTGCGTGGAGGGCACGGGAGGGCACACAGGTGATTAGGATGATGCCAGGCTGCGCGGCCGGGGCGGTCCTCCAGAGTGTGCTTCTCAAGTGTGGGCGGCGATCCCAGCAGAGGTCACAAAGTTGAGTCAAGGACTCATAACATCAATCCTGAAGGTCATGCCAAGCATGCTGTCCATGCACTGGGAGAGAAAATACGACTTTACCAGATGAACACTGGCATTCTATGTTATTTCTGTCTGGGTCTCATGTGCTTCCAAGCAGCACATTTTTTTTTATTTTTTATTTTTTTAAAGATTTTATTTATTTATTCATGAGAGACAGAGAGAGAGAGAGAGAGAGAAGCAGGCTCCCCGCTCAGCAGGGAGCCCAATGCAAGACTCGATCCCAGGACCCTGGGATCATGACCTGAGCCGAAGGCAGACGCTTAACCATCTGAGCCACCCAGGCGCCCCCAAGCAGCACACATTTATATATAAGAGCCTACCATTTGCTGTGGGTTTCCGGGCAGAGACCGCACCCATCAGTCCCTCCCCGTGTACGCTGAGCCACCCAGCACGTGTCCGGCGCTGCACAAGGTGCTGGGGACACACGGGGACACACGGGCTCACGTGGGAGGTGGGGCCACAGGCCAGGGCGCAGAGAAATATAATGAGTACCAGCGGTAGGACGGCTGTGGAGAAGCTCAGGGTGGGGGGGCAGAGCAAGGTCAGGACCCCCCAGGAGAGACAACCCACCCAGCAGAGGGATGGCCTGAGGCAGGGCCTGGGGGGAAGACAGTGTCTGAAGAACTGAGAGAGGCCAAGCAGGCCTGCAACACGGCTGAGCCCACGGGACCTCGAAGGCCAGGTTCAGAGCACAGGCTTCAGCCGACGGTGAGGAACTTCTGAAAGGCTTGCGGTACTGGGAAGAACGGATTTGGGTCACTGGGAGTAGGGTCCCTGCAACAGGAGGGTCCAGGACCGGCAGACAATGCAGACAGGGTCCCCCTCCCAGCCCCCAACTCCAAATCCAAGAGGAGGCAAGGGTCAGTCACGCCCTTGGCAGCCTGGACGACGCACTGACATCCTCTGAGTGCATCCCACGTGTGCCAGGTGACCAACCGCGCTTTCCGGCCAGGCCTAACGGTCTGCAGCTCCTCTCAGGGCCGCAGTGGTCTCCGCCGGTGGGCGGGGCGTCCCGTGGCGGCGGCCCTTGCAATGCGCGGCCCCGGACGTGGAGCGTGGGGCCAGCCGAGGTCAAGAGAGCTGCCGGACGGGTGTGCCGAGCAGGCCCTCGTGCTCCCCGGGGGCTGTCAGCCCCCCACCCTGCAAGCGGTGCACCCTACACCTTAACATTCATCACAAAGAGCTTTTGAGAATTTTTCCAAGTCCTGAACCTCGTTTTCCCTGTGTGGACAGAGCTGTGCCTGCAAAGACGACCCCAAATGAACGCGTCACAGCTCCGGATGTGGCCTCCCTGGGTTCACCAAACATGTGGGTGCATGGTCCCAGCCAGCGAGACCGAAACAGCCCCCCCAGGATGGTTGGCCACGTGCACAAGTAACCATTCCCACTGGGCTTGAGGGGCAAGAGAGAAGCAAGACCAAAGGCTCGAGGGCAGGCCTGGCAGGATGGGCAGGTGCTCCCAGCCGGCTTAGGGTCCACTGCCGCCGGCTCCCTGATGGGAAGATCCACTGCGCCCATGGTCTCAGCAGCTGCGTCAGCAGGTCTGGCTCATGAGCAGCCGACACCGAGCTGGGCAGCTCCTGTTCATGACCTCAGCCCTCACACCCACCAGCAAGAGGGCGTTTACACACACATGCACACACACGCCGGTTTACTAACGGAGAGCACAGAGCTCAGAGAGGTTCGGCCACTGGCCCAGCACACACAGCTCCCGAGCAGCAGGGTTGGGTGCACAGAGCAGTGGCCGGGGTGGGACCAGCCCTGCATGGAGGACCCAGAGCTGCCGGTCACACAGCACGCGGAGCTCAGCGCCCATCGGCGGGCCCAGCCTCCAGGCCCACGGAGCCACAGGGCGCTGTTCACGACGGCCCGCACGCTCCTCCCACACACACCCGTCTGGCACGCGCTTACCGAGTGCCTGGGTGTACGCTTCCCCCGCCTTGCCCAGGCACGCCTCCCCCAGCCCTGAGCCTACCCGCACACGCGGGCCAGCCTGAGCTTCTCGGAGAGAACGATTCTCTCACCTGAAGGGACCTTAACGGAAAGGTTGGTAAAAGCAGGAAACCTTATCCCAAAGGAACTGAACACAAACGTGAGCACCTCTGCAGGTACCCGTGCGGGCCAAGGCCTGGTCCTCGAGTCTGGGCTGCTGACCCCGTTCCCTGGCATCTCTCAGGGGTCAGCCAC